CATATTGGTCTAGCTGTATAGTGGAAAATATGGAATGCCAGTTACCAACCTTGGCCTCATTGGCAGAATATTTAGAATATATAAGTTACTAAAAATTGGTGAAAAACACTATATTTCATGACAAGTAATCATACTCATGCTGCTATCATCCAGTGTCTGCAGAATCTAGTCATGACACACTAGTAGTATATATGCCCATTAAGTTTCCCCATGTATTGGTCAGTATATTTTACAATACAGGAAATGTCTTTGAGTGATTACTCCATATTTGAGGAAATTTGATCTTGCATTTTTGCCAATTGTGACTTGAAGGTGCTGTGTGCTGCTTCATATTTTGCTTACAGCACAGCAGAAGCTCACCCCTGCATAACCAAGAACTAAGTAACACACATGTACTGTAGATCATAGTACATAATTTACAACACCCAAGACATCTAGTGCAAAGTATAATTAATATTGTCCAACAACCAGTTTTTATATATCACCCCACTAAAATAATGTTTACCTAATTTGATAAATAATTGTTTCATGATGAATATTCATATGGCTGAGGGTTTTCACATTTTTGTTTTGAATATCTGACAGTAGTAACCGAAATAATTGTAACCATGCCATCAAGGTTATTTTATATTATTTCGAGCTGTTGATTGATTTGTCACTCTAGGACTTCTTGTGTGTATCAAAACGTCACCATAAATGGTAAAGTTCATATATTCATATTTTAAAAAAATAATGTTACAAGAACTGCTATTTATTTAATACATAATTATCAATATATTTACAGCATGGCAAAGAAACAATTTGGCACATGCAGATCCCTGTAATCTATCCAAAGTAAAATTTATAATGCATTTTCTTTCACATTTGCAAAGCAACAAACAATTTATTTCTTGTATCTTTGAGTCATTCTGTCACCTGAACTTGCATACACTTATCCACAGACTTGGAAGAGAGTAGAATTATATGTTAAGCCTACCAACTAGTTTACACATGTATTTTACACTGCATAAAGCCAATTGTCTCCATTGATTATATCTATTAAATAGTTCCTAACAAATATAAATATTGATGTGTAAAAAATAGTTTTTAATTTGAAATAGTTACTGAAAATATTACTGCAGCATAACAATGTATTTAGAAAATAAATAACAAATTTAACAAACAAAAATATTCTAATTTGGAAATCACATACTTTAATTGAAAATGGAAATGACAGAGTTAATGTGGCCAAATATGAATAGACCATCAGCTCGATAAAGTTGGTAACACTTGACTCTTTTATGAATAACAGTATATTAATTATAATAGTTTTATTAATTCAATAAATAAAGTTTACTCAAATACATTTTACGTTAACCATGTCATTGATTCCCGAAATATATTTTCTGACAAGCACTGTCCGCGATACTGAAATTGAAAAGAAACACGATAGAACTTCACTGGTTGTCAAAAATATATTATAGCTAAAGAAATGTACTCATATGTCTTCGAATTGACTCATGGTTGTTGGTTGTCAGTAAGGAACCGATAATCCTTGAAAGAATAATAATTTTTCGATCTTATCGTCCCAAAATGATCCAATTATTCCGACTGTCACCAGCTGTTACAGCCAAGCATGGAAGTAGGTGGTGGCGCGTGGTCCTGTGCTTAAAGCTCAGGTCACAAATCGGTGAAGCTAAGCAGCGTCGAGCTCGGAGAGTCCTTGGATGGGTGACCGTGTTTGGCAGCTTGACTCCTGAGAGTTTCTAGGACTTGAGTCCTGCCCCACAACGAAGCACATGTGACACATGTGGTCTCACCTTAGGCAAGTGAGTTTCTTCAAAATTGTCTCTGTTCACCCAGCAGGAAAATGGGTACCCGGTGGAAAAAAAGTCATATGACTATAACCTTCTAGCGCCTAACAGGCAGCTTGGGTTATCCGGGGTAATAATGGCCTTGATTGTTAGTGCTATGAGCATACCTAGTGTGGAGTTTGGCGCTATATAAATGGACACATTATTATTATTAAGTACACTTGGTCCGGTCGGGTAAGGTGATATTTGGCGGTCGCGCAAATTCGCTTGTCTCCGGAAATCTAGTACCGGAAGTAGCGCTTCGCGAGACTTACGGGCCCTATTGGGTCACACAGGTATTTGGACAGCAGATCAGGTGCAGGATAAAAATCACAAAATGGTCGTCTTTTTTTCCTTATTTACCCAACCGCCTCCGTGGTGTAGCGGTTAGAGCGTCCGCCCGCCGGGCGGAAGGTCGCGGGTTCGATCCCCGACCGCGTCATACCAAAAGACGTTAAAATATGGTACTTGTTGGTCCCTGCCTGGCGCTCGGCATTAATGGGTACAACAAGGACTGTCGGCTCGGAGTCAGTATAATGTTTCTGAGTGGGGTATTCATGCTTCACTGCGGCATGGTATCTCAGTGGGCTAGCACTATAAAACCAGCTTCAGTCTGGGCTAGTACAAGCAGCCACACATACACATACACACGCATGCACGTCGTCATATGAGCGAAATATTCTCAAGTACGACGTTAAACCCAATTTCGCTATACAACAATCAGGACTTCACACATGATTGACATAACATGCCGATGCACTCTAATACATTACCCGTGAAGATCTGGGTTAGAATTGGTCTTCAGCAACCAATAATTGTCGTAAAGAAGCGACTAACGGGGTCTGTGCTGATGATGTTGATCACTGGATTGTCTGGTCCAGACTCGATTATTTACAGACCGCCACCATATAGCTGGAGCTTTGCGGCGTTAAACAACAACCAAAACAAAACTAAACTAACAAATATATTACCTGAGTGGACAGTTACAGAACGTACACAGTGTGCATAGTCAAAAACATATTGAAAGGTAAACAGCATACTAATTTTCTTTATATCTGCAGTTAGTTATTATATATATACTTAAAGGTCACATGCAACCAAAAATCAAACATAATTCAAACACAATTATCACTTATTCATGACATATAATATACATTGCTGGTTATGAAAAAAAATATAAACAAAATTATAAGCGTACAATCGCAAATCAAAAGTGCAATATTGTGTACTTGGGTTTACTTCCCAAGAAACGAAGCAGCCGGGATACCGAAGCCAGTCAGAGCGGGTGGGTGTGCACTCAAGTGTAACGGCTGGTTCATTTGCAGATGCCCTCACGGCTAATTGTGTGTGTATATATAGAGATGTTGGGTTTTGTAAATACATGCTCATTTTTTGTGTATAACATTTTGCAATCAACATGTCATGTGTTCACGTATCACACCTGCCTGTCTGTGTAATTACATAATGTGACAGAGACCGAACTCGGGCCATAAATCAATGCATTTTGTTTATGGTGTATAGCCTGATTGGTGTTGAGTTCAAATTGCATGTGGTCAGTGATCGCAGTTGTGTATTGGATATTGTCATTAGCAGACAGGCAGGCAGACACACAGGTGTCAATAAAACAAGACATTGAGTTTTGTCTGTGACAACGACATATCTATATCACATTTAAAAATTCTGTCAACGCTAAATAATGACATTGCTTTTAAGTATCGAACTGAGAAAGTGACTCGGTAAGAAGAACGTGTGGTGAAAAAGACAAATGAAATTATATAAACAGTTTATTTACTGTCATAACATATAAAAAGCTCGCGCCTGTGAGATATCAACAAAACATTAGAAAAATAGCTCACACCAAAGCCTTCACCGAGTATTCACCGGACAGCCCGCTTCCAAGTTGCGCGAACCTATTTCACTGCGCACGTGCTATGAGCGCAGCCCAGCTGTTGAAACCACTTGAATTCCCCCCCAAACGCTGGGGGAAAATTAGTGAATCATTTGAACTACTATTTCGCGCGTTTTTTTTCATCGCGTTTTTTTTCATTTTTATAAGTTGAATTTGCATTTTCGATGATTTGTTTCGGTAAGTCCATACCGAAAGGTTTCAGAATCTGCAAAGTTGTGTTTTACGTTGCATGTGACCCTTAAGTGTGAAAGACTGATATTTCTGTGTTTGAGAAAAGTGTGAAAATATCACTTTGCCGGAACGACTTTACGCCTCAATTTATTTTCTATCCAGTATCTTGTTCCACAACACAATAAATGGCAATTTAAACACATGCATTTCACTTTAATTATGCATTTGGTCAGCAAGTCCAGGCATCGAATGACCAACCTCCGGTGAAGGAAACTAGCATCGCCAAGAAGATTGTCCCGAAATAACACGAGTGGGTCACGAATTCCATATTTATTTGTAGTTCACCTTTTGTATTCGTGCGCCAGAACCGAGTATTAACGTATGGGCTAAGGCCAAAAGGATTGTTTCATGGATATTATTATAAGTACTGATCTTATTCAAACAATCACAATGAATAAAAAATAGCAACTGTTACCGATATGTGTTATCTGGATCTTAAAAACTTTCGAATACCCAATTGAACAAAGAAGTGGAAAGTGTTTAGTATCCAGTTGGGAGAATTTGGATTACGTCAAGCGAATTTTCTCGGTATTAATTTTACAAAAAATGGAAGCGTATAATAAAAAGAATAGTTCGTTGCGTCTGGCGAAACATGATCTGTCACCTCGTTTAGAACGCAATATATACACGACACTTATCACAGATAAATCGTATTTCACATGTCACAGGAAATATCCTTTATTTATTATGAGTGAGTGAGTTTAGTTTTACCCCGCTTTTAGCAATATTCCAGCAATATCACGGCGGAGGACACCGGAAATGGGTTTCATACATTGTACCCATGTCGGGAATCGAACCCGTGTCTTCGGCGTGACAAGCGAACGCTTTAACCACTAGGTTACCCCACTGCCTCTTATTTGTTATGAACATTAGTACATGAGTATATCAGAGAAACATACTAGAGTATAAACCAAAAAGCAAGGCCAGAGGTAGAAGCATATAGCTACTATGTAATAGATCATGGTTGAGATATGATAAGATAGTATGGTAAATAAGTTAACAATGTAGAATATAGTAAAGTTTCTTACCTGAATCAATAAACGTGAGTTTATGTCTCAGTCACAGAGTATTTTGTGACTGGCTGTCGTCCGCATTTTATACCTGTGCACGCTATCACAGAAAAGCATTCGATCGATCTTATAACTGACTGACTGAGTTTGGTTTTACGCCGCTTTTAGCAATATTCCAGCAACATCACGTCGGGGGACACCAGAAATGGGCTTCACACATTGTACCCATGTGGGGATTCGAACCCGGGTCTTCGGCGTGACAAGCGAACGCTTTAACCACTAGGCTACCCCACTGCCTCTTATTTGTTATGAACATTAGTACATGAGTATATCAGAGAAACATACTAGAGTATAAACCAAACAGCAAGGCCACAGGTAGAAGCATATAGCTACTATGTAATGGATAAACGTTGAGATATGATAAGATAGTATGGTAAATAAGTTAACAAAGTAGAATATAGTAAAGTTTCTTACCTGAATCAATAAACGTGAGTTTATGTCTCAGTCACAGAGTATTTTGTGACTCGCTGTCGTCCGCATTTTATACCTGTGCACGCTATCACAGAAAAGCATTCGATCGATCTTATAACTTGCTTAGACAAGCGATATGGTTGTTATTGCCAACTAACTCTATCTTGATAGGATTATGTAAAAGAAGTTGTTTAAGGAAGTTGTTGGGCGACGTTCACAAATGAGTTAGATTATCTGCTCAGCTTGAATGCCACCGTTGTACACCTGGTGCATGTGATTTGATAACAGTGGATGACAACTGTAGCAGTAAATTCATTGCACTTTGTTAGCATAACTCTATCTGAACAGCACAACACGAGCTCGAGGTCCCGGATGTCCGAGACTCGTTATCAGTGTGACCCTCTGCAGGTTTAAGATAGTGGAAAGTGGTCGGTTAGTCAGAATTATTTACATTACTAATACAATATAACGTGAACAATATTTTCTAAACTTTGTTCATTTTATTCATGTAATTACATGAAATACAATCGACAAACCTTTTTTCCTACATCTATAATAGAAGCGACAAAACCCTTGCCGCATCCATAAGAATCCCTTCTGAAAGTAGAGTCGACTGTACAGTTCTGACTATATCATGAATATGTATCTGTTTCAGTCGTATTACAGCTGTACAGCTGGACTAAACACCTCAGTGATTGATGCCATGTGATACGATGACAGAGCATGAATCACTATCAAATAGTGATGATATCAGATGTTTGCGAAAGGCCCCACTGTGTCAACAAGGTAGCTAACTTCGTTGAACAAGGTTACTGGTCTCGGGATGGCTTACAACAGGCACCTGTGGCACCACTTGTCATCCCTTTAAGTCGTGACTATGACGCTACGACGGACGAGAAACCGACAGGTCTCCAGGAATAGATTTTGAGATGTCCCCCGCCATGACTGGCTGTTCCGTTTCTGCGGTTTCACCCCGCCGCGACAGATAACAACTTTTGCGTTTTCAATGATGATAGTTTCTTAAACAACTTTTTGGGTGGAAAATTTTCAAATATAAGAAAGCTGTTGGGTATTAGTAAATGATAAACATGTGTACTATTTATATTTATGTGGCAATTTTGTAGTATGATAAAATTGGCATTTCATCGGTCCGTTTCTGACTCAAACGGACTGTAGTGAGAAGCAGCCTTCAGGTTTATATTGGGGTCTTAAATGTAACTTTGATAAAGCAGGTTCTGAGCAAGAGTGGTATGCCGCTCCTTGAAAAAAAGAGCATACTCGAAAAGTTGTGAAATGTAAACACAAAAGGCTGGAGCTGTTTGAATATTTCGGCTAGAGTAAGCCTATGTTTAAGTAGGGGAGGGCAAAGATCAATCTTTGGTACCATGCTCCTGTTACTCTTCTCTAAATGTAAATGCAAGCATTGAGCGGCAATAGGTAAAACAAGGTATGAAGCAGAATCAATAACCATTTCGGGTGAGATAAACAAAGATAGATGTCATAACTCTCTGTGTTTCAGGACAATCAAACCATTGGAAGATGAACATTAGCTGAAAACTACTGGTGGAAAACTGTTCAATATTCAGATGCTTTTATTGTTAGTGGCTGCATGCTCAAAGGCGGATAATGATTGTAATCGTTAAAGTAAATGGAGCTACCAAATCTTTCAAAGTACATTTATACCTACCACTGTATTTAATCGTAGAATATAGGTTATTTTAATTTATTGCAAAATTTGACGAACATCTGAAGGGAGGATGGTTGTACTGTAAGTCCCAAGTAAGAGAGAGAGAGAGAGAGAGAGAGAGAGAGAGAGAGAGAGAGAGAGAGAGAGAGAGAGAGAGAGAGAGAGAGAGAGAGAGAGAGAGAGAGAGAGAGAGAGAGAGAGAGAGTGTGTGAGGGGGTTGTTGTTTGTTGCGCACCCTGTACCCCACCTCTCAATCCTCCTCTGCCCATGATATCTAGTTTGGTGATCTACGAGGTAATCTTAAGACTTAGATAGTCAGCAGTGTAGATTAGCAGCATTTGTAAGTATTGTTTAAAGAAGTGACCATTGAATGCGCGACCATATCACGAACTCTGAGAGCATCGGTTGTATATATAACGGCCTTTATTCGGGGTATTTCACTCATGAAATGCACCGAATAAAGACTGGTCACTAATCGATGCTTCTCTTGGTTATTTGAAGGTAAGCCATGTTCAATTCATTCATTGTATGTTCTTAAATTATGTTCATATTTTATCTGTTTTTTTATTACGTTCCATACTGTTAGTTTATGCCAATATCATCATTTAAACTATGCAGTATTGAATAAGTACAACAAGGAATATCTGTATCATAGTTGTGTCAGACCATGTAGAACCAATCTAACAATATTACATCAAAATAGTTTACAGCATAATGTAGTAACGTTAAGACATAATATAGGTTCAGTAAATCACAATTACATATGATCGGGCTCGTGGAAGCAAAGCAATTCTTGCGCACGTGTTGTATATTGTATTGCGTGTTTGCAATGAAAGTGAATGTCAGTGAATGTATTTCTAAATGATTATTATATGTGTTTAACTCAAATGTTCCATGCTACCTTTCATCAACCAATGTTTAAACAATGTTACATATTATGTGAGGTTACAATACGGTACACGCAAAACTACTGAGCGCACATAAACCTTGTTGTTTCATTCTGTTGCTCAGATATTGCTACGTTCTCAGTACTGTAAAGCTTTAAGTATGTATATGTGTACTTATTCAATAACATTCTGTTCGGCATATGATCTGTAGTAATTCGCGACAGTCTAGATATTCAGATGTGATCATATGATTCAACTAGCAGACTGAACATTATATTATTTGTGTATTCTTATTATTCTGCTTAGGTTGTATTCTGTTGGGATGTAGCAAAGTAAGGCCTATCATTTACGACTTCCATAGAAGATTATTTTAGCAATTGATAGCACATGTACTACGTGTCTTACCTCATCATTCTCTACGCATATTTCTCAGCTGCGCTACATCACGTGTATTATGTTTCCAATATAAAATGAAGTGTCCTCACTTCCCTGTAATCTTGGCAATTGTTTATTGTAAGGTATATTGTCAGTAAGGTCTATGTAAATGCAAGAATTCTTTACATACATTTCAATGTACAAATTCTTTCAAATGAAATTGTTTACTAAGTTGTGACAATTGGTTTTAAGTATTTTATCCATGGTGGTCCAATAATTAAAACACTTAATTAATATCTAAAGTTTATTTCCATTTAAATCCTTATCAGTCAAAAGTGTAAACAATGTGGCCCAGTAAATGTCCATTACCCTGTGGCCTTAACCTTCATGTGTGATGTCAAAGCTCACAGGTCACATCATGACCTCTCCAAAGCTCATGCATTTTGGAGCACATGCTTGCCAGTGTGTATTGAACCTCCATGCTGCCTGGTTGTCACCCAGCTGACTGTAAGCTGAACTATGTAAAGATACACGTGTGAGTACTTTACCCTTTCATTGCTAGGTTGTACTATCTCTAAATTACAATGAAATTGTATATATGCCAAAATGTTAATTGGTTGTGCAAAAATTGTTAATATATTTCACACAATTATTTGTAAATTTGTAGTTGTTACTTTTGCAATTTCAATGTATTCACATATCATTAGAATGAAACATTGAATGTTATGTGCTATGAAATTTGTACATTTTCTGAATTTCATCGAAAGCTATTGTTTGTTGTAGTTTTCTGAACCTCATCAGCTCATCAGCAACTTTACTCTTCAAGTGAACGCAATAATATTCATCAAATCCTCAGCAGCAGCCACTTATTATGAACTGTAATTTCTCAAATATCAATACATTAAACCCTGTTGATGCGAGTATCAGTTTTTGTGTTCTGCATTAACAGTCTATGTAATTATTAATTCACATGATTTTCATATTATGTATTAATTGTCCAAGTTTGAAATAATGCTGATGTTTTATATAATTTGACTCATGAAATGCACCGAATAAAGACTGGCCACTAATCGATGCTTCTCTTGGTTTTTTGAAGGTGTTGCGGTCCCAAGCTAATTCCCCGACAACAAATTCTAGGTATTATAATTATCCTACACCAAATATAAACCCTAAAAAAGGTTACTATAAGGTCAAGGTTATTATAAGTAGTTAAGACAGATTTTCATGCTAGTTTTACATCCATACCTGTGATATTCGAGTTGTTTTATTGTCCTTCATGGACAAGGTTTTATAATCTAACTTAATGCATTATGAATGTATAACTTGTTTTAGTCACGATATGCTTGAAATACTGTCGATGTGACTAAAAGTCTTTACTCACTCAATTCATTATACACGTGCGTGTCCAATCTTCAACTAACATTCATGTGACTTCTTTAAAGCTAGGTAAAGATTAATGGCCTCGAACAAGCCCCACATGGAAAAATAAAGGTGACTCTTCGGACCACAGCTTCCACATAATGACCTACAGGGCGACGGTGTGACGTCAATAATCATGGGAAATCATGGGAACAAATATAGCTAGTGTAAACGTATCATAGAAACATGTTTTTCCTAAAATCTGTTCCATCAGAAGTATTCTCTTAAAAGATATAATACAAAAAGACATATGCACCTAGG